GCGCATTAAGAACCCAAAAGAACAAACTTTAGAATACTATAAAATCGCGAAAGATGGTGATGAATATAAACTTATGGATTAATATAATAAATATCTAAATCATTCTAATAAATGAATTTATTAGAGATGTTTAGTGGAACAATTTATAAATCTAAATTGTAAAATTTAGATTTTTAAATTCTAACGCTAAATAATTACAAGTAAATGAATTTACTTGAATTATTTAGCGGAACAGGCAGTGTTGGACTTATTGCAAAGTCGCTCGGTTTTAATGTAATATCGTTGGATTTAAAAAATGCTGATATTAATTGTGAAATTTTGGTGAGTTTGGTGGATTAAGGAAAACGAGTTTGGGGTTGGTGTTGAAACTTGAAATTTGCAGGTTCGTCCAACGACAAAAAGAGTAAAAATTATGAAACTTAAAGTTTTGAAAATAATGAATTTTAAAAGAAGACAACCCCCTCCCAGTGTCCACACTGACCCCCTCCCAGTGTCCACACTGACCCCCTCCCAGTGTCCACACTGACCCCCTCCCAGTGTCCACACTGACCCCCTCCCAGTGTCCACACTGACCCCCTCCCAGTGTCCACACTGACCCCCTCCCAGTGTCCAAAACGAACCCTTTTTTCACACTCATCCAGAATACGGTATGTGTCATGAATAATTCTAATAAGATAAAATTATTAGATTTATTCAATATATTTGTAATTGTTTGTTGTATGGTTTGTTGTTTGGTTTTTTGTTTGGTTTGTTGTTTGGTGGGTTTTTTCGGGACAGGTGGCTTACCCCTAAGCTCATGATAATGATTTAGTTTAAAACTATTTAAAGGGTAGAATGCTTTTTATAGTAGAAGATTATGGAAAGGAAATATTGCTCGTGTTGTGGATGTCATAAGGATGGAAATGTATTTACCGATAGTTGTAAAACTTGTGATAGATGCCGTGAAAGGCAGAAAAAGAAAGACCAAAGAAAGAGACTGAAACAAAACGCAGTCAAGCAACAGAAAGAAATAGAAGAAGGAGAAAAACAATATTGTTCACATTGTAAAGTTCATAGAAAGATTGAATTATTTTCAGAAAATCATAAAACTTGTGATTTGTGTAGAGAAAAAACGAAAATCTACTCGCAAACATGGAGAGATAATCATAAAGAGGAGATAAGCGAAATAAATAAAGAATATGGCATGAAAATATTTGTGTGTTCTGTTTGTGATTGCGAAGTCAGATTGAAACATAAAGCGAGGCATGAAAAAACAAAGAAGCATATCGAGAATTTAAAAAAGAATGAGGTTGAGGATAGTTGAAATGGTTTAAGTTATTCTAGAAAAATGAATAACTTGAAACATTTTATGAATTATTATATGGGATTTGGTGAGTGGATTGATATTTGGAAACATGTTTAAGCTTTTTATGTGGATTTGGGCGGTGCGTTGATAAATGCTGTTGGGCGGGTTTGGAAAAGAGGGTAGATGAGGTCTGGGTATGCTACCGCTTGCTAGCGTACCCTCCAGTCGAGCTCCTAATACGGACAGTCTGGAGCGACTGTGCGCCCGAATGAGGTGCTGTTTGCGCGTTCCACCCTAATCGGGAGGGACGTGCCGTTCAAAGTTTTCAAGCGTTGGGCACTGCGTGACCGAACGCCTATGGGGCCTTAGCTTAGGCCGATGGGAGCAGCGGAGGTCCCTTATACGGGATACGTGCTGCTGACGATGGCCGAGTGTCGGTCCGCCCTCAAAACGAGGTGCATTCGGAGGCCCGGCAAATTCGCCATCACAGTTTTTCCCATGCGACCTGAGCAGGTCTGCAGGGGGGAGATCATGATTGGGTTGGAGGGCGCAAAGGTGCCTCTCCTCAAGTTGCCAAGCCCCAATAATGAGGGCGAATTTTATGTTGACGATCGCGTCAAATACATTGACAAGCGCCATGTCGTTGTGGCCGTTGACCTAAAGTGGATGGCCATCGAGGAAGCCGCCGGCATCTATAAAACCCGACGCGGTTTGATTGCTGTGCGGGAAGAGATACATGCACCCTTCTGGCGCGCATGCTATCTGCACCAGGAAGGGGATGTAATATACATCCGTCCCTGGGCGGTCCGAGAATTGAATGTTCAGGGACCGCGGAGAGGGGTGTCATTTTCATGGGACAAAGCTCCCATGCGTGACTACTGGTGCCGCGCATTTGAATATGTATGGCGCCATTCTATGCAATGGTTGCCATTTGCCGATTTTCTATCGAGAGTGGGTGCCAGGCACCATCCGCTCCCAAGTTAGGAGAGGGCAGCCAGTCTGGTTGGACGGACTCAAGGCAGTCCGTGCCAACAGCTGGTATGAAGGGGAGACTGACGTGTGGGCTCCTCTCATGGCATCGGTAAACCCGATCCGCGAGGTGGTCAGCTGTATGATCTCCGGTTTGCGCTGTGCGCCTCACCTTGTGCACAATCCCAATGCGGATATCGTGCAAGTTGCGTTTCAGGAGGTTGCGAAGGTCACCTCAAAGGACACTCACGCTTGTGTGCGTGCGAGTGACGAGGCTCGCGAGCGGTGGGTAGCGAAACAGCTGCTCATCGAGGAGAGCAAGACTGGCGTCCCAATTCCCGACAATATGTCTGTCATGACATATTTGGTCGAGCGCCCGCAACAGGCGGCGCAATGGGGTCGTCATATGACAAGAAAGGGCAGTCTAAATTCAGCATTTGCCCTTTACCTCTCTGTGCATATTTTTGATGCCTACCGCATCGGAATTGAGGACGGATATTTGGTTCCGCTGTATGGCCCAGGCGCCTCACGTGCGGACATTATAATGTCATTGGTGCAGGCAGAGCGACGCCTCTCGGACTTCAATAGTGAGGACCCAAGTTTTGATGCCTCCACAGTTCTCGATTTGAGTATCGACTCTCTGCGGGCCAGTGGTGGATCCATCACGGCCCCGATTGAGTATGCTGAGGCATACATTTATGTCGAAAACAACAAGGTTGACATGGTCCCCGCTGCACAGCGCGACGGCCAATGCGCCATTGTTTTTGCTGACCCGCCGACTGGGAAGCACCATAGGCGGGCAGCCACTCCTAGGGGAGATCATCGGTCTGCTACCCCGCGACCTGATTCCAGGGCAAAGGGGGATCAGCAAAAGGGCAAAGCCCCTGCGCACTCCTGGCCCAAGGGTGGAGGTCACAAGGGTGACCAGTTTCCAGGAAAGGGTCACAAGGGTGATCAGTACAAAGGCAAGGGTGGCCAATACGGCTACCAACAAAGCCAGTTCGGTCGAGGCGGATCCGCCAGATCGAGAACTCCCACTGGCGGGTATCAGCCTGATGCTCGCGGGTCGGGGTACAAGGGTGCACAGGCTGCCCCTTTCCCGTTCCCGAGTCCGATGTATCCCACTTTCCCAATGGGAGGATACATGCAACAGCCCATGGCTGGCATGATGCCACAAATGTGGCCTGGCGCAATGCCGCAGGGTTGGCAGCCGCATATGCAGGGTGATCCCCGCGAGTTCGAGAATCCGAGCTCGCCGCATACCCCTACATGGGGTGACGATGACGAGTTGGCCGAGACAGTGCCTCCTCCCCCTGGGGACTGGAATGTCAGCAAGGGGAAGGGACGGCACGGCGGCGGACGACATCGGTAATACCTGAAGTCTGTCTATGTGTTTTGCATGGCTGCGCCAACGCTCGCATGTTTTCATTTCGGAATTTGCAGGATGGACTATGCTCCTTGTCGTATTTCGTTGTCTGGGCTATTCGCCATTTCAGAATTCATCTGCATGCGTGGCTGTGCGCTATTCGCGCAAGCTGCGATTACCTGTCAGGTGTGCGTCGCCACAGCAAGGCAGTCACCCTCGGCGGCGTCTATGGCAGCTGGTGATCTGCATCCTCCTGCACCGCTGCTGCTGCTGGTGATGGTGCTCATCAAGGTGCCGAGGTGAGGATCACGGATGCCCCGCACCGCTGCCGGTGATGTCCTACTCGGACCTAGACCGCGGATCGCTGCTGGTGGTATCCATGGCGATTGTCCTCGAATGATCGCGCGCCTAGACGGTGCTAATTTATAACCAAGGCTCATTGGTCTACGCACCATGTTTCAACCGACTGGCCAATGCGCCTAATTTGATAATTAAAATTAAATCCACTTGAATCGAATGGTTCAATGTGGTTGCAATGCAAATGACAATTCTTTGGCTTCATGCCGGCCATTCCGAAGTTGATCCTTTGTTCTTTTCTTTTGTTGCTCTCTCTTGTTTGATTTGGCTACCGGCGCGAATCCGCCTCATACCCGTAATTCGGGGTGGTGGCGGGATCCGGGCACCAATGAGTGCCCGGGTATGGGGTCGCGAACCCTGGTAGCCTAATCGGCTTTGTTTGTCTTGTTTGTTGCATTTCAACTTCAACATGGCCAATGCGCCTTTCCAAATTCACTCCTTCTCTTTGTACAGGCGAGGGGGGTGTTTTTGGGGGCATGTAGTTTTATCGCAACATGTTTCAACGCCACGGCCAACGCGCCGTTTGGCTCAAGCTTTTATCCCGGCGACTTCATCTTGCCATCGCGTCAAAACTGCTGCCAGCGGCGCTGTGCCGGCGCGCTTGGTGCAGCCATTTCTATATGATTGAATGGCTTGGGCCCTGTATGCTGTGAGATTCTTTGACCTTTCGGCACTGAATTGGTTTCGTGAAACTGTCGGCTCAACTGTTGACTAAGCTGCAGAAGTATTTGCAAGAGACCACCATCAAAAATTTTGCAACTTGGTTCCTGCAGACTAGACCATTTCCGCTGTGGATATGAACCGAGCCTCAGTTTTGCAAGGGCAAGTAGTTGTGTTGAGTGTTTGGTTTCCTTAGTGGATTACGTTGTGCCTCGTTTTGGAGCATCCCTTATTCAGATGATGAAGCATTGATGACCTCTTTGCAACCCAAGGCAATTTCGTTTTGCTTGACTTCAAAAGGAAGCTTTTATCCTTAGCCCTGCCTGCGAACCACAGGTTTTACCCCGCGCTTTGGGTGGCGAG